GAGCTGCTGGAGAGAGCCCAGAGGAGGCTCCAGGATGAGCAGAGGGATGGAGCAGCTCTGCTGGCAGCAAAGGCTGGCACAGCTGCCATTGTTCAGCCTGGCCAGGAGAAGCTTTGGGCTGAGCTCAGGGTGGCCTTGCAGGGCCTGAAGGAGCCCCAGGAAAGCTGGAGAGAGACAATTGCCAAGGGCTGCAGGGCCAGGAGCCAGGGAATGGCTGCCAGGGGCAGAGGGCAGGGCTGGATCTTGGGATCTTGGGCAGGAATTGTTCCCTGGCAGGGTGGGCAGGGGCTGGAATGGAATTGCCAGAGCAGCTGGGGCTGCCCCTGGATCCCTGGCAGTGCCCAAGGCCAGGCTGGACATTGGGAGCTCCTGGGACAGTGGGAGGTGGCCCTGCCATGGCAGGGCTGGGAATGGGTGGGCTCTGAGGTCCTTCCCAACCCAAACATCCCATGATCCGAAATGCTCAACACCCTTAGAAAAACAGAAGAAACCAATAAACTGCATTTAAATAAACCAGCCCCAGTGCAAAGCTGGGGCTCCACTGACAGCACAAGCCAGGCTGAAGTTTGTCCCCACGAGGATTAACAGGGACAGCCCAGGTTCCTCGGGCTGCACACACACCTCTGCTGGAGGCAGACGCTTCCAGCTGGAATTTCCCACCTGGATAAAGGTGCAGAACTCACTCTCTGGTTTAAACTCTTCCACCCACACACCTCCCAGGGAGGAAACAGGTAAAGCCCTTGGCGTTCCCAGTCCTTCAACGCCCTTCCCACCATCAGCCTCCTCCCCTTTCCCAAGGACAGCCAAGAACATTCCTCACTCGTGTCCAGCGAACAAAAACACATCTGGAGGAACAAACTGGAGACTCTGAACAAAGTGAGCATAACTGGAGCTGTAAAATCCACCCCTGGCAGATGCCAGCATTGACACTAACCCCACTGGTCTGTCATGCAGACAGAAAACACAACAGCAGCTCAACATTTCCACCTGAAAAATCAGATTTTCTCTCCCAAATGAACTGACTTCACGTGAACAAAATACTGTAAGCAATCAAGGAAATACAAAAAGTCTGCAGGAAGAAAAACGCCTTAATGTGGAATATCATTGGGTTAGTAAAGAACAGAACCGTCTGTTTCAAAGAGGAGAGGAAAAGACAGAAGGAAAAAGGGAAGCTGGTAATGAAGAATATTCAAGTTTTCATTGAAGAAGGTGCACCTTCCACAAGCAACTCATCAGAATATCCTTTAGGTCACATATGTCCCCACATGCACAGAGGATGAAAAGTAAATCAGGAGCTTATGTGAACATTTCTGCTACCCCCACTATCATTTCCCCACTTATTTCAGTGATTTCCTGCAGTTTCAGTTCTCCCTAATCCACAACTCTGGGCTCTGATCTCTAATTAAGTACTACAGAAAGACAAGAACAAAGAAACGAGGTTTAAATGAATTTATACAAAAACAAGGCCGTGTGAAAAACATATTAAAAAGCGATATTGGAGAAATTTCCATTCCAGGGCCAGTGGGAGGTGTCCCTGCCATGGCTGGGGTGGCTCTGGGTGGGCTCTGAGGTTCCCCTACCCAACCCATGATTTATCCCTGTACAGGAACACACTGCTCAGCCCCAAAACTGCCCGCCGCAGGGCTTTTTGAAGGGGGCTATTAAAGTCTGAAGGCTTGAGGAAGTAGAGGAAAAAGAATAAGAAATACAAGCCTGGATTTGGCGATTCTCCAGAGGCGGGCTGTGCCTCAGGCCTGCACCGGGAGGAACCGGGGCATGACGGGGCACGACAGCCGCGACCCCACGCTGCTGCCACAGCGGCTCCCGACCGCAGGAATTGTTATTCAGACTAAACAAGACTTTTTTATTTTCCCTTTAACTTCACCTACGGACCCCAACTCTCCGCGGAGCATTGGCGGTGCGTCCTCAGGGCCGGACAAGCCGTGACAAACCGGGACGTGCCGGTGTCCCAGGGGAGCGGCCTGGGGGTCCCTCCCGGTCCGGGTTCCGCTCTCCACCCCGCTCTCTCTCCCCATCCCGTTCCCTCTCCC